TAATTTGTCAATCGAAATTTTTTCGTTTTCAATAACCTCTGTGTCACTTTCTTCACTATCGGAAGCGATATATAATGACGAGGAATTTGATTTAAATTATATCAGAGTACATCGAGATGAAATACTACATTTAGTAAGGAATTATAAGCCAAATAAAATAAAAACATCTGCCCTGAAGATAAGGATAGTGCTGACAGATCAACTTCCAATTCATTGCGTGCCGTGGTGTCCACCCCCCCGCCCCGCTGCAGAGCAGCGTGAAATTGATAAACAGATTTTGGAATGGTTAGAGAAACGCAGGATATGCCTTTATCCATTTTTTGCAGCAATTCCACTTTTTGTTTAATCGACTTCGAAACATACTTTCGCTTTGTAGATCCTTTAAATATTAGTAAATATATATATCAGAAATTCTATTTGATATAATCGAAAGTTCAAGCTTACTTTTATAAAATTGCTCTAATAGTCTGCAAAAAATAATAAGCCGGATCCAATTCGAAGATTAAGGAACAACGCAATCAGCAACATTACCTGAATTAGATAATTTTAGCTTAGCTTATACCGTCCGTTATACATTAAATGCGCATGCGTAAACGTATTATGTGCATGCGCACATGTATATTCGCAGCCGTAAAGGTCTTACGCACATGCAAAAATGGGACGCATGCGCAGAAAGTTTGTAGCTTTGAAGTCCGGATTATAGATCATTCTGGATTATGGGTGTCCGAATTAACGACTTTTGACTATCAAAGATTTTTTTTTCAAAAAGCTTTTCTTATTTAATTCCTTACATGTTTCTCTGTTTTTCTACATAGTTTCCATATTTGTTTAAACATTTCTCATAACATTCTGGAAGCTTTGGTAGGCTTAAGTCATAGGTGTCTGCTGCCTATGAGGATAATCAGTCTTAAACTACTTCTTTCAACCTAATCGTCTGTGGTGAAGTGCTTGCTGCTGAGAAACTCCTTTAGGTAGCAGAACAAGTGAAAATCACTCATAGCCAAATCTGAATTGTACGGTGGGTGGTCAATCTATTCCCATCCAAAAGATCTGATCAGATTTTGGGTGTGAATGACAGAATGGAGACTGGCATTCTCATGCAGCAACAAAACTCCAAACATTAGAAAGCTATGTCACTTAATCTGTATTGCACATCTAAGTTTATTCAGGATAACGGAGTAAGTGGGTGCATTTATTGTTGTCTCTTGCTGCATAAACTTGACTAACACATCTATCCCAAAACACGGTTCCCGTAACCTTTCATGTTGTGATTGTTTGGCCTGATATCTGATACAAATCCATTGACTGACATTTAGATTCGAAAAGTCATGCGAGAAACCCATGTCTCGTCCTGTGACAATCCTCTCTAAAACTTGATCACTTTCTTTATGATATTGGTCTCAAAGTCAAAACACACAAGCCATTCTTTTCATTTGGTGTTCCTAAATAAGCAGCCTGGGAACACAACGTGTGGATAATTTCTGAAATTATAACTTTTCAGAGACAATTTTGTGCAAAGTTGGTCTACCCACATTTAGAAAATTCAATGATAAAGTTGATATTGTGAATCACTGGTCTTCGTGAATCTTTTCGTCTATGGCATTGACCAAATCTCCTGTGATCACTGATAGTCGGCTTAACCCATCTGTCCTTGAAAGTTCTCATCCACTTACACACTTCGTTGTCACTCATCGCACTGGAGACATATATGTCACTTATCTGTTGATGAATTTCTGCTGCTGAAATGTTCCTTGCTGTCAAAATCTGAATCGCTGACCATATTTAACCATCAGCTGTCTGATCAATTGTTTCAAACATTTTGAACTGACACTGTACACAACCGACTGCAACATAACTAATACAAATGACATTGTTTGATGAGCAAAGCATACCAAGAGTTGGTGTGCATGCACATTTCAATGTTTGCATCACATGAAATTAGCTATGGCAATTTGGACCTTAGTTTCCAAATAACCCTCATATAAGTACCATTTCAAAAATTTATGTAGATACCATATTTATTCAATTATAAGCCGACGCTAAGAAATTAGAAATGAAAACAAACAAAAAAAGGTCTGGAAATTATGGGGTAATTTTTCTAGGTATTTCTTTCTTCTCCTTTCTTTTTTAATCGACAGATTGTATACAAGTGTGAGTGTGTTCTTTTGTGTGTGTTAATTACGTACCTTCAAATGATAAATATGTTCTTCAGCATCTATGTCAATACGCCTTCGTTGGCTTTTAGTAGAAATAACTGATAAGCCAACATCAACAGAACCATGAATTTTACCACGTGCCATCTGTGGAAAAAAATCAATGATTAGGCGCTTATTACTTACTAACAAAGATGACATAACATTTTGTTTAAAGACAGGAATAAAATAAAGCACATACCTCAGTTGGTGATTTTGCATATGTTAAAATTCCTTTGTCCAACAAAAAATAACGCTGAAAGTATTTCAATAACACATATATAGCAATTGTAGTACAACATTTATGCAATTATTAGATTTAAATAAGAACATATGTACGAAACGAGTTTTTTTTTTTTACTAATTTATTTTTAATACAGAATAAGGTAAATTAAGTCAACAAAATTTAATGCCTTTTTTCACAATAAACTGGCAGCAACAGATTCAGCGATATTCAAAAGAAAATTTCATACTTGCCAACCTATGACACTCAAAAATCAGGAGATTTTTTTAAGAAATCAGGAGATTTTTCACAATGTTAAAAAGACTTTTTAAATGATAAAAATATAGTTTTTAATAATGAATTAACTTTAAGTAGTAACTAATTCTTAAATGAAAGCAACACAAAAATACCTTACACATAAAAAATTTTTATTACACGCATCGTTTAAGAGGAAAAAAAAAAAAAAAAAAAAAAAGACACTTTAATCAGTTTTCGTACAAATGTTATAAACAGTGGCAGATTTTGCTTTCTTTAAGAAAGAAACTTCATCATTGTGTTCACAGCAATTGCCACGTAGGCCTGCTTTCGCTAATAGAAGTTTTTCTAATATGCCATCTCTAATATTAGATCTAAATTCAGTCCTCATTTTCGCAACAAACCTGAGAATCCTCTCACACTCTGCATTACTATAGGGAACTGTCAAGATGGCCAACACAATTCTAGACAGTTCACTATATTTTAAAATTCCATCAGCACCTTTCAGATTTGCAATTAATGTGTCAATCGTAGCTGATTTTATAACTTCATCCAAGTTTTCTAATTGTAAACTGCTGTTATGCAGCTGTTGGAACTGTTTCAATTTTTCCTTCCTTTTAGAACTCCTTTCAAGATAATAATAATTATCAACAATGTGTTCATCCACATTTATTGGTAAAGAAGTTGCCCCTTTTTCAGCTGCTAAATTTAAGAGGTGACAGGTGCACCTCATAATCTGAAAATCTGAATTTTCCTTTCTTAAGATGCCTGCAACACCAGCCTTCCAAGCCTACCAATACTGGTGCATTATCGGCACCAAGTGCTAAGCAATTATCCAGAGTGCCTGCAGTTTTCTTTTAAAGTTTTAATAATTAGCTGTGCTATATTAAAGCCTGTCAAATGTCCTTATAAAGTGGGAACATAAAGTAAACTGTACTCAATTTCTGAAGACTCTGGATCAAAAAAAAGAAACAACAATTGGATACAGTTTTGAATCGGTATTATTGCTTCCATCAGTAGAGAGGCAGACCGGAGCTGTTTTAATGCAATCAATAACTGAAGATTTATTTTTCAAACCCATTTCTTTAACAATTGCACCTGTTTTGATTCTTGCACCTTGAGTATTTCGTAGCGATTTCACTATCGGGAAACATTTTTCTAAATAAAGCTGCAGCGTGATCCGATGCATTCAGTGGCAGGTTGTGCTCCAGTAAAAAGGCAGAGAACAGACATTCTGCATTAATTACTTTTTATCCTTTATTTCCGAAAGAAAAATTTAATTTTTCGTTTTTTTCAAAACAACTCATGTGCTATCCTTGTGTTTTTGTGTACGCACATGTTTGAGAACATCCGCCCTTTTTAACATGACGAAATCGAAAAAAAATCGCAACGACAGGCGGTACACATCGCAAATTTATTACATTTCCTTGAGGAAATAATGGAAGGAAAGTCAACTGTGTACGATTTTTGAAACGTACACGAGTATTTCACCTTTCTCGCAGACGTAACAAAAGATGATAATTTCTAAAACTATTTCCCTAAGGCACGTGTACTCACACAACTCAGGACAAAATGAAGGAAACTAAAAAGAACGTCCAAATAACAACTTGCTTTGTCCTCATTAGCTAATATATGCCAGCTGACACGCAGTGGAGCTCGAAGCCCATTGGAGAACTGGAGAATGACGTTTCTGGATACGTATAATGCTCTCACTCACAAAGCAGAAGCTATCTGATTCGCAAGGTTTTGTTTTTTGAGATATAATGTTTAGATATAATGTAGAGAAAATTCGATTGTTTTCAGACGTCCAAAAGCACTTTTTTTTATTCATATAACAGTATGAACAGTATGAAAGTTAAGCCAAGTTGCATAAAAATCGTGAGAAATTTTAAGAATAAGAAAAAGTCGGGAGAAATATATTGTAAATCGGGTTGGCGGGAGAGCGGTCGAAAATCGGGAGTCTCCCGCCTAAATCGGGAGAGTTGGCAACTCTGAAATTTAAATGCAATCAACTTACTTTATGCCAACCCTTAAGAGGCCACTTTCGCCTTTTCATGAGATAACCTTCAAATTTTCCAGGTTTAACTTCACACTTTTTTCCATCTCGTAAGCCCTCTAAGATTTCCCATTCACTGCCTCTGTGGACTTTCTGTGTTGCTGCAGGAACTTTCGTTTCATCGTTTATAGCTTCAGTTGGTAGATGATCATCAGTGGATTCTAATGGTAGTGTTAAGGCAGGCTTGCCTTGATATCCAGGTTCAGACTGGTGAGAACTATGTGAAAGACTGTTAGTGCCAACACTGATTTCCTGTAACATTAAAAAAGGCAACTGACATTACTTGAGAAAGAAAAACAAATTTGAAAACTGAATACTTTTCTCTGTATCCAGAGTCCATACTAATCTTTACTCAGAACGAAACATAAAAGCTCAAAACTAACATAACAGTAATTTCAGTCTGACAGATCTAAAGCCAGTGTTTTTCATACATTTAACAAGCCAAACGTTCTTTCAGTTAGAAATTAAGGGAGCTTAAAAGAAAGTTTTCAAGTTTCAGTTCAGTGTGGATTAAAACAGTATAAGTAAATAAAAATGAAATGAAAGACAAACGCAAGCTATTTGACATTTGTAAAATAAAAGTAAAGGTAATAAGTAATATAGGTAAAATATTTATATATTAAATATAAATTTATGATTATAATTAAATATTAAATTATAATTATATATTAAATATTAATTTATATATTATATATTAAATATTTATATCTTTAAATATTAAAATTAATAACCCCTTTTAAAAGAAATGTATCTCAGTTTTCTATACATATAGAGTCTCAATTACGGCTGGTGATGTTTGTAGTTAATCTATATACCATTCTAGCAAAATTTTCATTACCTTGTATACAGCTGAACTTCGATTTGCAGCAGGATTTTAAAAAATCTTGACTTTCATTTACATCAATTCATTAAATGTTTACCACACACTTAAGATTTTCAAAGTAACTAAATTCCTAATTAGATGATATTGAGAAGCGTAATACATATTTTGATAAGGGAATTAATATAAAAATAATTATTTCATGATTTTAATAACTAGTACTGCAAAAGCAAAATATCTTGGCACCTTTTCAACATAGCTAGCATGAAAAGTAGCTGTAACCCTTTGCAACATTTATTTTCACAAACAGTAGCCAGTTAACAATTTTTACAATTTTTTACACATTTTTATAATGCCTCAAAGTTAGCAACATTTTTGCACACAAAACAAGCATTTTGCATTTTACATTACTTAAAGTTTACAGCATAGGTTTTTACAATAGCTCTCACAAGTAGCAGCTTAACACTTAACATTACATTATATTAGCGCCTTCTATTTATACAGTCAGCAGGAACAAACTACTCAACCTCACTTAGTTTAGCAAATGCTAATCCACTCTCAGGAATTCAAATGATGAATGTTCTAGATAAGTTAAATTAAAACTGGCTGTTTACTAGCCTTTTTTTAGTATTATTTATGTATATATATATATTAGATTTACATGCATAATTTGTGTAGGGGAAGTTTTCAATAGGCAAGAGTGATTCATAGCATATTCTTGTGAAACAATTGTTCTAATAGAGGTATTTTGACACAAAATCGGACTTTTTCTGAAATTACTTGCCAATTTTTTTCCATATTTCAAATCTACGACTCAAATTATGCCAAACTACCAAGTTTTGTAAAAATCGCATGAGTAATTTTTAAAAAATTAGCTCTCAAAATTTTAGCTCCTTAATGCTAATTGAATTTGATATATATTATTAATATATATATATATATATATTATTAAATTTACTTCATTCCTTCTTCCAGAATTCAAAATTTAAGCTTAATCCAAATATAATTCACACATTTTTTATGATTTAATTTCAAAACTTGTATTTTAAAATTTTTTTATAATTTTTTCGAAACACTTTTTGTATAACCTATAAAATTTATAACATCATCTTAAAGTAGATGTATTTCTAGGCACACTTGCAAAAAATTAGCGTTTTTTATTAAAAATTTTCTAAGATATACATGAATTTAAATATTAGAGCGTTTTGAATTTTTTTTTTGAGCGATAATAACGCCAAATGTGGTTTACGCACTTTATTAATATTAATTGAAAGTATGAACGATAAAAAAAGGGGGGGAATAGAAAATAGCTTGCTATAAATTAAGGAGTTTGCCAAGTAAATTATTCCTGGCACAATCTAAAAAACCCCCAAAGATAAATTTTTAAATTTCTCCCTAAATTCCGCACCAAATTTTACAAAATTTAATATTTAGACATAATTTGAGTCGTAGAATCGTAATATGGAAAACAATTGGCATGTCATTTCAGAAAAAGTTCGATTTTGTGTCAGAATACCTGTATTAGAACAGTGCTATATATAAATCTAATATATATCCTAAGTAGCGCTTCCGAGATATAAAAAACGCAATTTGAATTTCGTCAATCCGCCCAGTAGAACGGGAGATATATAGAACCCCGCAGTGTACATTTAAACTCACCCCCCCGCAGTGTACTCCCGCATTATCACTCCCCCCCCGCAGTGTACATTTAAACTAATTCTGATGTATTCGTTAGACTTGCGCAAGCTGCGATTTCGAAAATACGTACTTTGACCTGAGTAACTTGCTCAGTAATATTTGATGTACTTAAATATATGGTCAATAAATTAAGTATATATGCCGAATAACCATCCAATATATAAGCTGAATATTGTTTTCGAATTCTTCTCACAATTTTGCCATATTTGCTGCATTATCGATTACGAAATTACTAATTTTACATTTAAATTTGTTTTCAACTTTTTACGTGCACCATGCGCTTTGAATTAGTGCATTCGTCATCAGATTTGTTCTCAAGTTTATACAGATATAGATGGGTTTTTGGTTAATTTGATTACGACAAAGCACGCGATGCCTACCTCCCTAATGTCTCCCTACCGTTAGGCTTCTTAGGACCAAATAGGGTAGCCACTGTATAGGCATTAAGCTTTTTTGATGCTGCAGAAGTGAAAAATTTGTAATGCCCTCGGCCGGAACTCGAACCTGCACCTCTGGAATATGCGCCGAGTGTGCTTCCAGTCACACAACGAAGGCTTGCCGGAAGGATGGAGAATATCCCTTTACTTATTCATACTCACCGCCGCCCGAAACATGGCGACGGATTTTTTGCACTTTAGACAAATCTCAAAACTGTGTCTTCTTACATATTTTACACCATTTTTAACCCTAATGCTTAGTTTACTTTAATTGCATTTTTAATTTCTGTCTTCCCCCCCCTCCACCGGAGGTAAATGCTTTGTTCCTCCCTTTTACGGCAATGCTTGGCTGCAAGCAAAAAATGCCCAACTCAGTTTAAATACAAATTGTAAGCTTTTCACATCTGCTCTTTTGAGAAAGCTGAAAGTCATGTTTAAAGAACAGAGGATGCAACAACAGATGCACACATCCGAATATATATAATCGATTCACTACCAAACCTATAAATTGCCAACACGCAGCAAAAGTCAAGAAATAATTAATGCTGACAACATGCCAGACATCTCCTTCAACTAAAAATGTCATGTCTCAAATTTTGGCAAAGATGTATTGCGACACTTTTCTTACGTTCATTAGACCTTTCGTTCCTAATGGAATTAAACATGTACGTGTGTATGCGCCATCATTAAAGGCTTCAAACAACGATTTAAAACACACATTAGTCAAAAGAACCTAACATTCGCATTGTATGAAATAGTAACAAAATGTTTTTTGTACAAGTAAAACGAACCATAAAAATTTCTCGAATCGCACGAATCTTTCATCCTTCACATAGTATTAAAAATAAGACTAACAAAGGAAAAAAAAACTTTTGCTCAATATTTTTTTATTAGAAAAACTGAAATCGGCTTGATCAAACACAAGTTGAATACATTTTCCCCCTATATTCATTAAAAGATAAAAATGAAATGCAATAAATGAAGAACATAATTAAAATTTTTGAATCCTCGTTTTTTTCAATACAATTTCACAAATAATATCTGAATAACAATTCCAAGTTCTTACATTTTGAAAGGATTATTTTAAAAGCTAAAAAAAGACAAACACCGAACATGCAATTTTGTACTTAATTTTTTTCCTGGAAATTAAGAATGTGGCACTCAATAGAGGTTGATACTGGTAATCCAAATCCAATGAATTTGCAACAATTGTTTTCTTTTTATAATGAATGCTTCCAATGAACATTAAGAAAATGAATACTTCAAAAGTTTCGAATTGAAACATTTTAAAAGCATTTTTAGTTCAGGATCCAAACCATTCTAATGATATATATATACATATACATGGACACTAGATGACTTCTTTATATGGCTTCTTATATTAGACTAGACATATTTGTTTTTGCTGCACTTCCTTTAACCACTTGCGCTAAAAAGACGTGCCACGCACGTCGAGATGCTTTTCTCTCAAACCGCAAGCGACGTGAACACCACGTCGATAGGCATTTATCGCAAAAAATGAAAATAACGTGGTGCACACGTCGCCTAACAACGAGATTGTTTATTTCTCGAGTTACAGCTCTGGATTGCACTCGCAGACGCGGAGCGGCGTAAATGAGACACTTTATCGCTTGTTATATTGTAGCGCAAGGCACCGCAACCGTGAAGTTTAGTCGTAGAGCAAGTGGTTAAGCTTATTCCTCAAATTGTTCTAACTTAATTAACCAGTTCCTTAAAGCAAGTTGAAAATGACATAAAAAATTGCAATTTTTGAAATTAAATATCCCGGTCAATTTTTTTGTTGTATGGAGTCAAGCTTCTTACAATTTTTTTCATAACGGGTACGAAACTTTTCCAAATATAACTATAGGAACCGGAAGACCACTTTAAAAGTTAGATTCGTTATCTGTCAAAAATTATTTTTAAGTTGACATTGTCAAAACAAGAATATTTTCGTCATTTAGACTATGATGATATATATGACTATATATATGACTATGATAGCGAAAATAAGGCCTTGTAAGGGGATGGTATCCTATCTTAGAAAAAATTGTGTAAGGCATTACCATTGGTCTCATGTTAACTGGCAGTGAAAAGTTCAAGCTGGAGAAAAAAAATTTCCTAAAGGCAATTAAAGTTCTAAAGGGCAATTAAATGATGAAAAGATGTATTAACATTCCACCCTCATCAATCAGTTTTCTAAACTTTTTCATCCGTACAAATTAATCAGACGTTTTCTTCATGACAGTGTCGAATAATATCACTCTTTTTCATTGTGTTTTGTATTTTGGAATCCAAATAAAAACATTAAATCATTCGGCGCTAAAAATTTTCTTCTGTTTATTTGTACATATGTCGTTATTTATAACTCAAATGTATACAAAACTTAAGAATAAGCATATTTGTGCGCCTAAGACAAGGTAGAATACTATTTGCTAATTGAACTGCAAACTTATTTACATTCTAGAAAATTGAAAGATTTTGTAAGGCCACTTTCGAACAGCAAGAGCCGACGACGTGCACGGGACTGCTTCATAATGACACAGGACTCTTTATGAAAGCAGGCTATTATTCAAAATGACAGAAAACTTCTTTAAAATTTTCCGGCATAAAAGTGTCCCCAGCCTTACGAAACAATTTTTAACTCTTAAAAGGCAACTTTCATAAAGCTGAATGCACCGCTAAGTAAAGTAGAGATTTAGTTTGCCATTGAAAATTCTACATGCATTCAGGCGCCCCATATGCCTGAGTACTCATATGAAGATTTCTGACTTTTCGAATAACTGCCGATTTGCACAAAGTTGCTGATACCTCTATGACAGGATATTTTTATAAAGGCGTCAAATGCAATGCGCAAAAAACCGACTTTTCAGACAGCTCGCGATGTACGCGGCAAGTCCTACCAGAGCAAATGGCTAATAAATTATTCTAGATTTTATTTCACAGTGAAGTTAACCACTTGAGTTAAGTTGAGAAATTACCACTGCGTAAAGTACAAAAAAAATTATTTTGAAATGAAGGTAAGCAAGACTGGAAATCGAAGAGAAAACTTACCGAATCAGATGTGCGGCTAGGACTTTTTCGGCGATCACATATCTGTAATTCATTTAAACCTTTTTCAGATGCTGATGTGCTCATTTTTTGATTTAAATTGCCAGGTTCAGTAGCGATGTGGCGAAGAGATGAAGCCATAGTGAAACGGGGTATGGAATACAACACAAGTTTTCGAACAGGTTTTAATCACAAGCGGTAAATATTTTGTTTCATGGTCACCTGATAGCACCGACTGTATGAGGCAGCATGCTGATCTAACAAAAGAGAAGGAAAATATTATTTTACACATGGAAATACCAGTATGCATATCTAATACAATGTTAACAATTTTTACTAATAATAATCATGTATAATATTAGCTTCATCAGGAAAAAATGCGTAAAACATAATTTCTTTACCCAAACACCTATTTCCAAAGAATATGAATAAATTCATAGATGATGGATCCTGGCTCTCAAATATGTAGCGTCAGTCTGAGCCAGTATACATCAGATTCTTCATGAAGGCATCCTTTTAAAGCACAGAGTCCTCGCGTGTCTTACAGCAATCAGCTTGTGCAGAATATTATGTTTTTTGGAGCAGGCAACGTAAGCCTGGGACGTAAACCTTTGCCATGAGGATGAGGGCTTTTCTTTTCCTTAAAAGTCTTAAACTCCGTCAAAGTGCTTGTTCCCCAGAGAAAGACAGGCATGAATTCGGAAGTTATAGTCGATTTTAGAGGTACATTTTGAAACTACGTTTCACTTACGTAAAAAGAATACTGGAGCCCTTTTTTATGGGGCTCCAGTGCGATTCGCCTAGAATCACGATATACTTCAGAAACTGAGAAATACCGGAGCAATTTAAGCTCTGGGCATCGACTGTCATCGACGGTTAGAAACCTTGACAGCTTTCTAACCCAACGGGCTAGGAGAAAGTACCATAACCACATTTCAGTTCGTGTCACGTAAAAGGATTTGTATGTCAGAAGACATTACGTGTGTATTCTCTACGCTTGTTTACCAGAGATTCTACTATATATATAACAAGAAAATATGTCACGCGGAGTCGACAAGTAACAGAGCAAAATAATATTCACAAATGAATGCAAGAACTTCTCAAAGGTCTGAAGAGCGGAAAGGAACATTAAACAAGCGGTCTAAAATTCTTGAATAAAACGTTTCAGAGAAAGCAGTAGCCTACTTTGGGCAAGAATTACTTTGGGAGCCCACACACCCATGCATTAACAGGTGAATATAAGGATGTTCGAGGTAGCGAGACTAAGTTTTTGATGAACATTATGAGACCATTTACTGCCACCGTAGGTGATACATTTATTTTAAAGAATAATATCAGCTGCATACAGCAGCTGGAGTCAACTGGTAATTTAGAGTTCACAGAACTCAGCGAATGGACTCACGAGTTCAATCATAAAACCACAATCAACTAAACATTTTTAAGACCATTTATGAAGGCAGTTAGCTGCACTGTTTTCTCGGAGAACACTAAATAGAGTACAATGATAGTTTGCATGAATTTCGTCAACTAAATGTCTGATAAACTGATTAATTACGTCCCCAGGGATTTAAAAATTTTTTTCCAGCTACATTAATAAAACAAAAAAAAAAAAAAAAAAAAAAGTTTCATCTTTTCAATACCTATACGATTTATCCAAAATAACTTTTTTCATAAGCGCAAAGCTTGCAGTAAATAAAAAATGCAATAAAAGGCATTATCTATACCTGAGCTAAGTCTGATGCGTATAACTTCTTTTTATCTCAACAATTATGGCTTAAAATCAATTTAATCCTTAACTTTCGCCATGCAATGTATTTAAATCAAGCTACGGTAATTATCAAAACCTCTCGAGTTGCCTCTTGCAATACTTCATCGATAGCGCACAATTTTAAGAATGAGCTACAAAACGAAACAGAGACTGGAAAATAAATAATCGGATATTTCTAGATTTTCCGCAACTGCTGTTAAGTTTGCGCAAAGCATATAAATAAAGGTTCCGCTAAGAACAATCAGTGGCGGGAACACATACTGTACGTTTTCTGCATGAGATGCGTAACATTTAGATAGTAAGCTCTGGTTTATCTGGTAATTTAAAGTACTTTTGATAAAAACTTGAAAACATTACCCATCTTTCAAATAGAGAATTACGAGGCATCTCACACATTATAAAGGAAACTCGCTAATTTTATTAAAAAGGCGTAAAAAATGAATAAGTGATATCGATCTGAGATGTGCGGAAAACTAGTCGATAAGTCACCGGCTGGCTGCCAAGCTGAAATTTCAGGTGTAACACCCATTTTGGCAACTGTTCGGTACATTTCACGTTTAAGGGTCGTAGAGGTCATCTATGAGGATTCGATGAATTCATTAAAAAAATACACGTTTTTATAATCAATTCATACGGAAATTTACTTAAAAGTTTTTTAAACAATGTCTTAACTAGTTAATAAAAAAGTAACCGAAATCAGTACTGCAAAGAATGAAAGGTCAAAACAGAAAAAAGATTCTGTTTGGAAATTTATGTATTGAAATGGAATAGTATTTTCAGAAAACGAAAAGGACAAATAAATTGTTTCACGAACATGTTACCATATACACTGACTACCGATAAGTATTTGGACACCTATGCAAATGACGATATCTGCGGTATTAAGGTACGTCACGGACTCCGCCGGTATACATCGTGTAAGAAATAGCATCGGCTTTAGTCGCATGCAAGATGCCTCGCAGTTCGGAGCTCTCTGATTTCTAGAAAGGTATAATTATCGGGTATCACAAATGTGGCCAATCCTTAAGGGATATATCTAGCGATCTGAAGTACCCAAAATTGACAGTGGCCTATGTGATTAAGAAGTGGAAGGTGAGCGGTGATTGTCGGAATGTGCCCCGAGTCGGCAGACCAACGAAACTGGGAGATAGAGACCGACGAGTGCTGTCCAGAGAAATTCGGAAGAACCGCACCCAACCGATGGCCCTCATCCACGAGGAGTTTCAACAGGCATCCGGGAGTATTGTTTCAATGAATACCATCCGTAAGGAAGCCCATCTGCTTGGTTTTCACGGTCTTGCTGCTGCCCATAAGCCTTTGATCACAAAGTCCAACCGCGCTGCTCGGTTAATGTGGTGCAAAGCGCATCGAAATTGGACCGTAGATCAATGGAAACGGGTTCTTTGGAGTGACGAATAAAGGTTCACTCTTTACTTTTTGGATGGCAGGGTCTGGGTCTGGCATCTACCTGGAGAACGTCTCCTGCCAGAATGCATTGTGCCAAACTGTCAAGTTTGACGGAGGGTTGAATTATGGTCTGGGGGTGTTTCTCCTGGTATAGGCTGGAACTCTTGGTCCCCATTCATGGTATAAGCTCAACTCCGATGCCTACTGCACTGTTTTGGATGACAATGTGCTTCCTACGTTGTGGCAGTTTTACGGGGTGGACCCTGTTACTTTCAGGACGACAATGTCAGTTGTCATGTTTCGGCGTTAACCAGGCTTGGTATGGTGACAATGGAGTTCATTGAATGGACTGGCCTGCCCAGAGTCCAGACCTGAACCCTATCGAGAACTCTGGGACGAGTTGCATCACCGAATTCAGGGGTGCACTACCCGTGCAAAATTGGTGAAGGAACTTCTAGTATTCTCCAAGCCGAGTGGAAGAAAATACCACTAGCTGTCATACAAAGACTTGTGGAACGTATGCTCCGGTGGGTCCACGCTGTAATTACCTCTCGTGGAGGCTCTACCAACTGTTGATTTTGAATAAAGTTAGTTTTCTTTTCTATCACAGGTGCCCAAATACTTATTGGTAGTCAGTGTATAAGGAGTTTATAAACTATACGTTGAAAAAAAGGTAGGGAGAAGGGTGCGTGTGTAGGAGGGTGGAGAAATATGAGAGTAAATATATACTTTTACTTCATATTAATACTTTAAGTAGTCCATGAAACTCTTGTAAAGGTAAACATTTTTAATTAAGTGTATCTATCTCATCTCTTACAAAAAATTTAAAGAAGTAAAAAAGAAAATTTCTGCAGCTCTAATCCGCGTTATTGTTATTTTCTGGAGGTATAGAAATGAAGACAGCATGAAATTTAAATATATATATATATATAACTCTCTCGGGTTAAGCCCAGAAAAGCAAGAGGCAGCTGTAATGAAATTAGTAAATGCACCGACCTTGCGAGGCTCAGGAGTTACAAGAAGTGCTTTTTTTCCCAAGAATTTGATATCTCGTTTTTTTAAGATCCCCATAGTTATCGTTGACTTTTATTCCTAGGAGGTAAAATATTTCTCTAGAAAATTTAATTGCCTGAATTTTTATTCTTGTCTCCCCCCCCCAAAGGAAACATAATCACTTCTAAAGAAGGAGGCTGCGCTAAAGTAACAGCAATTTATAGGCTGCTGAATGAAGGAAAAAAAAAGTTCCATTTCAAACGAAGCAAAAAATTATTTAGTGTGCAAGTTGATCAATTATGCTCAAACAAACATGAATTTTGTCGCCCAGACGGTAGAGTGGTTAGGGGAGCCTACTACGGTACCTAAAGCTCCCGGTTCAAATCCCAGAAAAGACATGGGTGTTTGTAAATGTATAGTGTCAGTGCGGCATGGCGGCACTCTAAATATGCGGCGAGCCGAAAGTCCTCTTGTGTGGAGAGGGGTGGGAGACCCCCGGATCCCCCCCACGGGGTGCTCTACTCAGAATAGGGAATGGAAAATAGAAGTCCAACATCTCTTCGGAGTAGGCTCTGGCAAACATTGTTCCATGTAATATGGACACGACAACAAACATGAATTTTAGCTAAAGTAATTTTTATGTAAAAAGCTTCCGATAGCTGAACATCAAATTAAAGTTTCCCCGATAGCAAAATGGTTGAGAACATTATAGCTTTATGCTGCTTTAACATTAACGATTTGTGCTCAGTTGATTTCAGTGTTTAGCAGAAACACCAAATTAATAATAAGTTGCTGTTGAGCGGTAGGTAAAAGCGTTGTGCTGCGCGTAAATCGTTATTCTCCGTGCGACGTGCATTGTCTGTTTATCTCATTTATCTCCTTATGCATTTTATCTGTGCAAAAACGCCTCAACTCCTCAAAGGAAATATAAAGATAGATTCCCCATACCATCATTTAAAAAGTCGCTTCATTTCCATCCGTAGCCCCATAGAATAAAATTATATCGACGAGCTTTGGTTTGCGTAACGATGCATGCTGCTCAAATCCCGCAGCAGGCTGATGATTTATACCAGCAGAATGCTTTTATTTATCGTTGAACAGCGCCTTGTGGTATAACCTCAAGACACTTATTCCATTCCATTACAAAATCTACTATTTCAGTCCCCTCTAAATTTTCGCCAGACATTTTTGAATAATCGTGCATAATAAATGAGTGAGTGAGTGTGATTATGGCAAAGTCTCGAGTGCTATCTGCCTAATGGGAGGGATGCCTTCGTGGAGGACTTTCTAAGGGAAGCTGGCTCGTATACACGTTACACATGGGGAAAAGCACGAAAACGCCCATGCAGTCAGCCCGTTCGCAGGATTCGAACCTCGGACCGAACTACCAGTGTTCAGTGACTTTACCGCTCGGCCGCTGGTGGGCTCGCATAATAAATGCTACGCAGAAAGATTCAGCAAATAAATAAGTTTCCTTTCAAATAAAAACTGCATTGAATATTTTTTTTTTTTTTCATTTTGTGTACTTAATATTTTTTCCTCGGACACAAGCCCAGCCATTTTATGCTTTTGGGCACTATTAAGGCCAGAAGTGGCGGTCAGTTTATTTAAGGAGGCACCTAAATGGCAATCACCATTTCCTCCTATGAAGGGATAGGCAATTTACATCCATACCTTCTCAGGGATTGGAGCCCGGGCCCTTCAGTACGGCAATCAAAGTCGCTAACACTTTCCGGTCTGGGCAGGATGTACTTAAATTTATTAGTTATTTAGAATAAATGATTACGCAACAACTTCATTTATATTTTTATAATAAAATAAATCATTGCATTTTTCAATGGCCAAAAGGATACGGCTGCTGAACACTGGTAGTTAGATCCAAGTTGAAATCTCGGCGAACAGGATTAGCTGTATGGGAGTTTTTATGGTTATCATTAGTAGCGTTAATACTAGCCAGTTTTAGTTAACAGCTCTCACCTGCTTTGTCCCACCCTATTAAAAAAACACCTATTAATACAGTTTTCGAAGCCTTGTTTCTACAAACATATAAATTGACACAACAGAAATAGTCACTAATTCATTATAACACAACATTTTTTAAAACCCAATGCTCAGTAGAAAACGAAACACTGAATAAGAAAAACCGCCACGCTAAATGTATTAAAAAAAAAGTCACAGGTTAATATTACCTATGACCCCTCCCCCTACCTTAAAAAAAGGATCAAAAGAAAGCCTGCGCTTAAGAAATTTCAACTTCAGATTTACCCTTTTTATGCTGGAGAAAGGTATAGATATAATGTTGCTATACTCTCCTTCTCATGAAATATTTATAAATATTTTTAAAAGACAATACTGGTGATACAGAAGTTTGAGCTCAACAATGAGGCTTGCAAAAGCACATTAAGAGTACATTTTAAAGCGTGCATCTTTTAGTTACATTTACATTAACAGATTACAAAAAATTTCAGTGAAATGCAAAAAATAATTATTTACAATAAATCAGCATTTTAATACTATACACGAAGATCTATTTAAAGTATTTTAACTGTGATGACACTAAATATGATAATATTTATAAAAGATAACATAATTCCATTTTGCTTTTTAAGAACTTTGAAAATAAGTAAATATTCATTGATTTCATTTAAATGAGATTTCTAGCAATTGTAAATGAAAGGTAAGAAAGAGTACACCATTCTTCTTTAAAATAACGGTACTCACCTTTCTCACAAGAGAACAGTGAATAAGACAACAGAAAAATTCTATCGGCTTATTAAAAGGGAAACCTATTCTGTACAGTAGTCTGTCATCCAAACGTTTATCGCGCAGCTCTAACAAGAGAGGTTTGGTATTAAAAAATGCAGAACAGCGAATATGACAGCCATCAGGAAAGACGGCATTGTCGACCTTCAAAGAAGCATTGGAGAAACGATTTCATTATCAGAATATCAAAAATGCTTTTCATTACAAGGAAAAATCTACAAAGGAAGAAAATATCTTCCTTATTGTCCATTATATACGGGAATAAGCAAAGAAAAAAAAAAAAATGCTTCAATGTTCGATCAAAATTAACTTCGATGCAATGTTTCAAAAATAATTTCCTGCATTCATATCATGTCCTGTAGTTTCATATACACAAAATTCGTCATAAGATTTTCTATACAGAGTACTGATTTCATTTTTAAATGAAGTTGTCGTTGCTTGAAGCCGAGAAACTGCATAAACTGGAAAAAGTCAAGATCCCAGAAGTCATATTCCATACAATGTAGGAGTTCTGTGCACCTATCGATAATTAACATTCGTAAAAAGCATTTTTTAACGCAAAGAATTGTGATATGAGTTTATTTTGACAAGCGATGACATACAAAAAGCAAACGGAATTTATGCTTCTTTTCATCCTCCTCCCCAATTATCAAAAAGGAAAAAATTAAGTTACGAAAATTTCTAATAAGTGGCGAAAAATCTGCCTATTTGAAAGACATGAAGGATGATACGAGATTACTTACACCAAACAAACATAAAAATTCTAAGCATCTATAAACTGTATTGGATTTCCTCATGTGTAACTGTAAACATAAGCCTCATAAAATCCTATACGAAAGTATTCTTCTTCAGGCAGACAAGCGTCGGTTAAGTTAGGTTACTTGAATATAGCAAAGCACATGCGAGCTATCAGCATGGGGAAGGATGTTTTCGTGGAAGACTTTCTAAGGGAAACTTGAGTCATATTCACATTACACATACAGAAAACCAACCATGCACCCAGCCCGTTCACCTGGGATCGAACTCTCAGTATTCAGCGATCTTAACCCCTCGGCCACTACTGGGGACAATCACGCGTCGTGTTCTTGGGCATGACTGGTCGTTCAAATCAATTTATATCATGCAATTAATCAAACTCTCTGATTTGGATGTTTCTATTCTATCTGTTACTGACATATTAAGAAAAAAAAAACGAGCTGCATTATTACAACGTTTGCAAAAAATACTAAGGAAAATACAGTTATCACCGTTAAGATTTCTTTTAAAAGTTGAACCACATTTTATTGCCAATGCAAAACATAAATGGTTAGTAATGGATTTTTGTATTTGCTTTGTTACTCATTTTGTTTCACTATTAAGACTATGACCTAGCTCATTTTGCAATTGACGGGCATTAGATTTCTCAGGCAGCAATTACTAAGTTACACCTCTTGCAGCTACAAGTATATGTTGTGAAAGTATATGTTGTTGAGAAATGAGGAAGGATATAATTTAAGAAAATGATCTAGATTCATCTCCAATTAGAAATGAATAAAATAAATATATAATAAAAATATGAAATACTTCAGATTGAAACAGCTGCATTATATATAATATACAGAAAAAAGATCCAAAAAATTACGAAATTTTAATCTCCCGAGCAAAGAGAAAGTAATTCAGGAACTTGCCGCTAGGTACCGCAAGCTCTCAGGTAGCACTGCGTTCTGAGAATCATTTCTAGGATTAGGGCCTGACTTTTGCATCATAAAGATGTCTCTTCCCACAGCTTTAATCGTCCCGCAGTTTTAGGATAAAAATAAAACGGCAATCATGTGCCTTTCCCCCAATCTCGCTCTATGAAATTTTTTGTCAAATAGCACAAAAAATGAGGTGTTTAGAGGTTTATTGAAGCTCTTGACAGTATACTAGATGAATTAGACAATACTTTCAAAAGTAAAAAGTTCAATAAAATGCATCATCTAATCCACAGATAGAATACTGAAGACGACTAAAGTTTCAGAATTCTAACACTGTTTCGCATATCGTTCCTCTAGCAATGGAGACAGACACACACACAAAAAAAGAAAGATGTTTGGAGACAGATGATCAATAGATTATGTCTAAGCACTCTACAGATAGCTTCCTTAAGAAGTATGCCTTTTTGCAGGTCGTTCTAAGAATAACTGTCTCATATTTACATAAACTAATGGGGAAAATCACGAAACACCACGTTGCCAATTGTTTCACAGGGAACCGAAGCTGAAACGAACAACCAGTATTTAACATGTTTATCCACTTAAAGCGTTGATAAGCACAAAATGGGAGAAAAAGTCTTTTAAAATTTTCGTGAATTTTAAGTATCACATGATTTAAAATTAAAGATAAAATCAGTTTCAGCCTGCAGAAACGGAATGTTTAAAGATGAAGTAGCAGAATTCACGTGCTTGCTAAATCATTATTTCTTACAATACAAAATTAAACAGTTACCGCCTCGTAGAAAAAGAAAGATTATGAATTCCCATATTCCATTACATTTAAACATATTTGTTCATTGTCGCGAGCTCAAAGAGTTCAGTTTGTCGACTAGCAAGAGTGCAGGTGTATTCATTCCTTGGCGTTACAGCATTAGATGAGAGTGGACGAATATCCCGCCTCTGTTTAGAACAGGGATTCCTCCCTCTTTTTTTTACGTCACATATATGTCATATATCCTATAATAACATTGCACCACAATTCCATTTAAATTTAAATCAACTGTATTTATAATAAAATATTTACGTAGATTTACAGGACTGTAGTTTAGTTACGAATTATCAGCACGCATCAGCATGTCTTTATTCTCCGAAAGTTCTCGCGGTTTTGTTCGACAAACATGTAGATGGCACTCTGGTAGCTTTCAAGACGCGACAAATTATGTTAAATTGCAAGCAGTAACCGTCGTATTCACCAACTTTTCAACTCATGTGTTTGACTAGTGCATCAAATCGAAATCGATATTCTCCAACCACATCAACACACACACGAAAAAAAAAAAAAAAAAAAAAAAAAAAAAAAAGATGTTTTAACCCTTAACGCTCCGAAAGTTTTTGTACTACTACCTACCAGCAACTCTGGCGCATTTTCGCAGCGGAATGCAGCATCCAGAATATCTGCATAAATCTCTTTCTTGTAAATATTTTACCAAAGAAAGGGATGTGACTATTCTCCTTAACTGACCAATAATCCTGCATATTCGCCATGGGTATCGTACCCATATTGATAATAACTCCAATAAAAGCCCAAAACTCATCCTCTTCCACCGCACGCCACGTTTTCCAAATAGAATTACTAGATATTTCTTTAATTTTTAGAACATTCTCTGCTTAATTGTTGGTTTCTTTTATAATTTCATTTACCAGTTCGTTTGTGAAAAATAATTTGAAATATTGTATCGGCTGTATAATATTTGTAGGAATATGTGGTCCAATGACCTTTGGCGATACACTAAAATGTATTCTATCCGGAATATCTAATTCTTCCGTGACATCGCGCCATTCATCTAAGTCTTCCAGCGACTCTTCGCTTTCACTTTCAATAACTACCATTCGTCGTCTCTTTGGTGGTATAATTTCGGAACCACTACTTGAAGTGTCAGAATTATAATCAACATTGTCTTTCACGCAATATCTTCTAACAATGAAAAATCAAACGCATCTTCACTATCACTGAACTCCTATATTCTCATCACAATAATTATTTTTCTCCATGTTGCTAACCATAAAATGGGTCAAATAATGTTTCAATCATAACAGTAGCGAGACTGAGCACGTTTTAACTACAGATAACAATTGCCAACGCCGACGATTCCGTAAGATCTTAACCCTAATCATGCTAAAAACATTGGGATCCGCAGCGGAGCCTACGGAGTTACGGAACAAATGATGGACGGCTCCGTAACAGAGCCAACGGAGCGCTAAGGGTTAAAACCATAAATAGTACGGTACTTTTCCGTTTTGCCGGCGCAGGCAATAAATTCGCCAATAATGGTAAAACTGATGCCAAACGGAATATCCTAGCTGGTAATCTTTTACGCCTCATTTTCAAAACATGTCGCAGCTATTTCTTATCAGATTGATTGTCTTTCAATATTGGCATACAATTACAAAAAATTTTTACCCAGATAGTTCAATTTTATGCCCCAAGGCCATTCGGGGTAATTAAGTCAATTAGGATACAATCACACCACTCACCTGAAAATATAGAAAATCAAGGGTTCAATTCATCAATTCTAATGAGAATGCAATAGCGAAGTAAAGCACTGCGGTTTTGAGTAAGCTATTCGTACGACTTGAACTAATTCTTGCATTTAAGCTTGTATTCCAAGTTCAGATTTAACTTGAAATTAATGTAGATAATTACTGAGAGAATTAGCTTTTTGTAACGTAGTTTACGTGAGATGACATCACTTGGGGTCACGTAATATACGTAAACCAGCGAATCAGGATGCTGAACCATGAAAGCAGAGTAAATTCTTAAATTAATGTCTTTATTTATTGGCTTTTTACAAAATTTTAACCGATATTAAAATGTTTATATCTTCAAAATAAAAAATTCTTAGAACCATTACCATTGAAATATTAATTTGTTAAAATTTTTTATGTGTATGCCGTATGTTGTCGGCAATAAAGTCTGCTTGGCAAGATCTGCGCCGGCGAAACGGAAAAGTACAATAGTACTTTACCTACCACCTTTTCTCCCCATAAGAAAGTTTGGACCGACAGCTCAGCAGCAATTGGCTTCTTCTTATGAGACTGGCCATGTGTACAGTCCACAACATTCAAGATCTGAACTTAACCAATGTAAAGGATCACTTCTCCCTTCAAATGAAAGCCTTTGGATCAAAACATTATTGCAATTATGAAGAGTTATCACAAGCGACTTGTGAGAGCTTTAATTTGCGCTGCTGAAAAGAAGCCACAAATGCGAACTTGCAGTGTACTTGATGCAATGAAAGTTATCGTCGCACCCTGGAAATCCGTGCCCTCATAAGTCATACAAAACTGTTTTAGCAGAGTCTTGAGACATAAAGATGCTA